TATTATAATTTAATAATAATTAATTAAATTATAACTATAATTTTATATATGAGGAATATGTTATATCCAAAAAAATTAATATTTTTAAAAAAAAAATTTAAATATAATTTACATAATGAAAATTAATTATTTTTAATAAAATTATATATTATTAATATATATTATATATATATATATTATTTTAATAGAAATATATTATTTTACTAACTATTATGACAATTTTAAAATTGATACTGCTAATGCTCTGCCAATCACTTTATTGAAAAATTTAATGAAAGCATACAGCTTCTGTAGCATACTGCTTTTGCAGCATACTGCTACTGCTTTATCATCTGCTGTACCAATCGAGGCCTAAGACAAGTCTTTACGAACTAAGAGCATATGTATGAGATAGACTCAATTTTGAATTTATTTTACATGATTATATTTGCAAATAGCATATGTAGAATGTTATATAAATAAATAGCATTTTACTATATTGCATTTTACTATGCTATTATTTACAATATTGCATTTTCTCTATTAAAAGAGAAGTACCAAATTTATCTACTATTTAGAAGTTATGTTGGACCATGTCATTAATTATTTAATTTTACATATTTGATTGTTATATTAACTAGTCAAATATATATTATTTTCAAAATATCTTAATAATTAATAAGAATGTTAATAATAAATAAATTTAAATAGAATAAAATCTGTAGAAAAATCTAACAAGATTTTATCCAAAATTTAAATATTTTTATTTATAAAATAAGTATTTCTTTATTTACTTATTAGATATAATTATAATTAAAACTAAAATATAAATCATATATTTAAAATTTTTAGTTATATATTTATAAAATGAAAAGTATACCCGCACGGATGTGCGAGTGAAACTCTAGTTTTGGGTTAAAAACCAAGTTAAATTAAACCATAAAGAATTTTCTCTATTAAAAGAGAAGTACAAAATTTATCTACTATTTAAAAGTTATGTTGGACCATGTCATTAATTATTTAATTTTACATATTTGATTGTTATATTCACCAGTCAAATATATATTATTTTCAAAATATCTTAATAATTAATAAGAATATTAATAATAAATAAATTTAAATACAATAGAATCTGTTGAGAAAGTATAACAAAATCTTATCCAAAATTTAAATATTTTTATTTATAAAATAAGTATTTCTCTATTTACTTATTAGATATAATTATAATTAAAACTAAAATATAAGTCATATATTAAAAATTTTAATTATATATTTATAAAATGAAAAGTATACTCGCACGGATGTGCGAGTGAAATCTAGTTTTGGGTTAAAAACCAAGTTAAACCAAAAAGAATAGTATTATTATTGTTATTGATTGAATGTCAAAATTAATTCGAATCGAAAACTTTTTTTGCAAAAGTGCTTTGGGAATTTGAAATCTAGCAATTAGTTGAGATAGTTGTGGATCTTCTTGGTAGTTTTTTGGTAGATAGTATTATCGTGTCTTTTAAAAATAAGTGCCAGAATTATACTACCTTATCAATTCAGACTTGGTTGAGGTCTTAAGCAATGAAATTTGAACCAAAACATATAGATATGCTTCCTCCTTTGATTTTTTAAAAACTGGTTGCGGGATTTTAAATTGCAGCTTGCCTGGGAAGATCATATATATCCTTAACAGGAGAAAATGGATGAAAACAACGCAGCAAAGTTAACCGGGATCAAGCAGATTGTGAGGCTAAAGGAGATTCTGCAAAAATGGCAAAGTGTCACAATAGGGTCAAAGTCAGATGATACCGAGTTGGGAGCAAGAAAGCACACAGCCATCATTTCACCGGTTATCAACCAGAGGCTATTGGATATGAAGACATGTGATTCCGATGAGGAAACAAACCAAAGTCCTGAGCCACCGCCTGATGTCCCTGAAGGATATTTGGCTGTCTATGTTGGACCCGAGCTCCGGAGATTTATCATACCTACAAACTTTCTAAGCCACTCTCTGTTCAAGGTCTTGCTCGAGAAAGCTGAGGAAGAATACGGATTTGATCATAGCGGCGCCTTAACCATACCTTGCGAGGTCGAGACTTTCAAGTACTTGCTTAACTGCATTGAGAACCATCCTAAAGATGACACCTTGGGTAATAAGCTCTTCTTCTTCATCCTGCTTGTTAATATATCCACACCTTTCTTTTCTTATACTGTTAAGTAGATTGTTTCTTTGAAAATCAAAATATCAACAACATAAAAAAAACATGAATCTTAATGCAATCTCAAATCATTTTGGGAGAGTAGAGAAGGAGGTGTTACAGGACTTTTTTTTTGTTGTCTTGCAGTTGGAGATTCAGTGGAAACGGAAGAGTAAATAACAAGTCACATATGAAATTATTCCTTTTCTCTTTTAAAACTAATCCCGTTTTTAACTTGTATTAGTTGTAATGTCCCATATCCGACTGGTAATTGTCAAATCAGTCTTTGTATCTTCCTGATAATTTGTTTCTTCTATCTACTCTTCATTGTTTTTTTTCTCAAATAGGAAGAGTAGGAGATGATATGCTAAAGCGCATACTCCAGTAAACAAATCAGTTTTTCCCTTCTATCTCTATCAAGGAATCAGTTTGACAGAGATTGTTTTATTGCAAAACTATCATGGTATCACTATCATCTGTTCAATGGAGTAGTTCTAAGGTCTATGCAGTTGAGAAAATATTTAAAGAGATCAAATTTTTATTGCCAGTACCAGAAAGCTCTCATAATATGAGTAGCTGAAAAATAATGCTGAGGCAAAAACAGAAAAGAAATACAAGTCATGAGTATGGCAAAAAGTTCAAGTCACGAGTGAGATAACAGAAGTTGTTGACATAACACAGAATCAGTGCTGATTCTGACTATTTATAGACCGGAAGCAATTAATTAAAAAAAAAACTTATTGTTGTAGCTAGGTTTTGAACTCATTATCTACATCTCAATTTTAACTTTAATCAACAACAAAACTACATAATGTTTTATTAAATATTTTGGCCGATATTTTACATAAACAAAAAAGGCTGGAAGTCTATACTTCCTTGACTTCCCTTCCGGGCCACTACTACACAGAATGAAAGAGATACTTATCATTTGAAATACCAAAAAACAATTTTTCATACTCATCTTTCATTCTTCTTGATCTTGAGCAAGGTATACAGCTTGAGCCTGCAAGACATAAAAATAACAGTGAGATACGCACCCAAAAAAGTACAAAGTTACATATCTTAATTTTTTTAATTTTTTGTAACAGTTACATATCTTAATTACGGGTAGAATAATGGGTACCAGTGTGCGATACTTGAGTGCGTAGAACATCTCAAGTTACCGATGGCTCTCAAGACGGCCAAGTTTCCAGACGTGCTTCCTAGAAGCCTTAGACACCAGTCATTGTCAGTAGTATCTGTGAGTATATTTTCCAGGTATACCTACAAAAGCCCACCAAAAGGTACTTGAAATTATTATAAAAAGACAGATGGTTTAGATATTCTGGACCTTGATCTTCGGCGGGTTACTTATTGGTAAGTTTTTTTTTTAATTAGTTTAAATTTTATATTTTTTCTGTTTTTTGGTCTAACAAGTTGATATTATTGTCAGGTTTGGAGTAAACAACCGCGTCAGTCGGAGTGTCTCAGAGACGATGAAGGGGTATTTTTCTTGAGACTCATCCGAACTGGAGTATGACTCAAGACCACGTGAGGACAACGTGGTTTAAAATGTTTGCGGTAAATATTTTAAATATTTATTATTAAATTATTTTTAATATATTTATAACTTTTTTTCCAGCAAAACCCTTATCGATCAACGAGAAGGTGAAGGAGTCTTTTATAGCAAAATCAAAGATCCGCTTTCACAACACCATCTCGAAGTGGAAGAACAAGTGGGAACTCTACGGTTATGAAGCGAAGCTCAAGGAGATCTCGAAGTATGTATGGGATGGTCTCATCCGCTTTTGGAACCTACCTTCCTCAATCAAAAAGTCCAACTCGTGCTCTTCTTTCTCGAGAAGGAAGGATAAAGACGGAAATGAGCCCATGCTTCTTAGAACAGGCCCAAAACCTCATGCCGGGATCCGTCTAGATGTTGTATTTTAACTAAATTTCCATTTAAAAATTAATTATTTTTGTTTGTGGGTCAAGAAGACTGGACTCATGCCATCTCTAACTGGACCATTCATGATGACTCACGCTACAGCAGACGGAGTTTTTATAGATCCACAGTCTGGGAAAGTCTATAATGATGTGGTTTCTTGGGTTGAGGACCAGAAGACATAGCTAACCCAACAGGTTCACGATGGATTACCCGTCACATTGGCTACAAAAGAAGTCGACCAGATTTTCGAAGAGGTAAAATTTTCAAATAGATTTTAATTCATTTATATTAATTCTTTTTCATATATAATTAAATATTAAAGTATTATATATATTTTTTTTTTTGAAAAAGGTGGCTCCTAGACAGAAGGGACGGACATTAGAAATAGGCTCAGTCAATGAAGTCCCAAGGGCAACTTTGTCATACACTTTGAGACGGGATGAGGAAACTTTTTTAGATGCGGGCACGCATGGACTCCCAGCAAAAGTGTTTGGACTCACTTGAAGATCTGCTTGGCATTATGGCGACAGGGAACCCAATTATGCAGAGAGCATTGAAGGAAATATGAGTGGCTCTCGGAATGCAGCAACATCCTCCTGAGTCAATCGGTCGAACAGTCTCGGAACCGGGCCTCCCCAACGAGTACTTCAGCAACGCCATGCCGTAGTTTTTTTTATTTTGTTTTGTTTTGTATTATAAATTTATATATTGTTTATGACATTTATATTATGGCTTTTAATTTAAATTAAGAATTATATAAATATAAAAAATATAAAATATATCAATACCAAGTAAATTCTTCGTACATGTTACGACGAGTTAACATGGAAGTCCTAGTAAATTTCTCAGAAACTTTACTATGAGTTTACATGGAATTTCTAGTAATTCCTGGTAAAGTTAACAACGAGTTAACAAGGAAAGTTTATGAGCACTTTTCGAGGAAAGGGAACGAGGAGTTTACGACGAATATTATAACATGGACTTTACGACCAAGCTCTTCCTTTTCATTTACACCAAAAATATTTCCTTGTAACGTTAAGTGGACTTTACGACGAATAGTCCATTACGACGGACGTTTAACAACGACACGTTTCCTTATTAATTTGTCGTATCTATCCTATTACGACGAAATAACAAGGAAAACAGTCCTCATAAAAAATATGTTTTCTTGTAGTGAGTATAAGAGGAGAGACATGGTATGTTTTTGTTGGTTGAATGTTACATATAGTTTTTTTTTTCTGGCAATTTATGTAATAAGTCTTTTTTATTAGTTTTATAAAATAACCAAAACTGAGTTTAGAATACATAAATAGTCCGGATGATGTTGAGAAGTTGTTATTAGTTGTGTTCTTTGATTATTATCTCATGAGCTGTAGATGGAAATTTAGCTCTAATTCAATTAAGCCTAGAAATTGAGTAATTTAATTTTCTGTTAATTGTTTTTTATCGTGCTACTTCTTTTGATCTCATATGTGGTATAATATCAAATTTTAGATTTTCTTTTCATTTTTGATTTGAAATTTTGAAGAATATATATTATATTTGATGAAATTAAATTTGTTTAATGGTGTCGTGATAATTACTAAACATATATAACATCTATCATACAATCAAACATACAAAGAAATATTTTTACTATACCATTGTTCACACTCATAAAATCAGAAAATTGCAATTATTTGGTCTTACTTTTGGGATTAACTCCTCACTGATCACATTATTATTATTATTATTATTATTATTATTATTATTATTATTATTATTATTATTATTATTATTATTATTAATAATATTATTATTATTATTCTTATTATTATTATTATTATTATCATCATCATTATTATTATTATTATTATTATTATTATTATTATTATTATTATTATTATTATTATTATTATTATTTTATGAAGCGTTTTAATATCTGTATTGAAAATATGTTCCCTTATATTTATTAGGAAAATTTTTTGCTTCCAAAATATTATTGATAATTTATATACTGTGAATAACTAAATATATGAAATTTAATATTTAGTCATGTGTAGATTTTGAAGGGGGCGATCAAATGTATTTTAAATAACTTAAAAACGGTATAGATTTAAATCTTAGTGATTAGTACTCATAAGTATCATATATTTTTAGAAAATGACATTTGTTTGAAAATAGTAAAATACTTACACTTAGTAATAAGTTTGTAAGACTTGTAGGGTTTATTCAATTTTAATATTTGATGTGATTTGATTTCTAATGGGGGTTTTAGATAATTTCAATAAGTTGCAGAGGTAAAGTGATTTTTGTTAAACTACTATAGATTATCACCTAAGATTATGAGATTTTAATTTTAATTTTTAACTAAGAAACTCCACTCAACACTGTAAAATCACCTGGAAACTTTAAAATTCCACAACTTAAATATTTCAATAACAGTGGATTTCAGAGTACTTTACAAAATGTCAGATTGAATAACAGTAGATTTTTAATGAAATTTTAAAATTCATATTTGAATAACATTGAATTTGTCATTTTAATATAAATCACCTAAAATTCTCGGTTGAATACACTCCCGTAGTCTCTTTTTATATTTTGTGCACAAAACATTTCTCTTATGTACGAACAAAGCTTGTAATATAACAACCAACCATTAGTTTGGAATTTGGTAAAAGATTGTGTTCCATGTGAGATAAGTACATTTCTTTGCAGTTTAACTTTTGTCTTTCTAGTGATTGGATCAAGAATATTGAAACAATATATAATACCTAGAATAGTATGAGTCATTCAAGTTTCTAGATTTTAATTTGTCATTCACTACGTAACTTAACCTAAATAACCCTCATCCCAAACAAAAACTTCATCGCATGTAAGCCCAATGCCACATATGATTGCATTCAAACCTCATTATAAAAAAGTGATATATTTCCAGTTTTCTCTAATTATGTGTCGTATCCCTTAGACTATATTTACGAAGTGATTTTGAAGAAAAATATGACATGGCATAGTCTCGAATGACTTTCACCAACAAAAAATATGACATGGCACATTAAAAAATATGACATGCATATTTGAAACCCTTATATGATATGCATCGATTTACGATCAATCATTGTCTGCTCCATGTACTTATTTAATTCATATATGACATAAAAAGAATAATTTCCTGAAATAAGAACCGATTCCCTTGTTAAAAAAAAGAAAATTATATCAATTTTGGTATATTTCACAAGTTATCAAACCAATAAAATAGAAACGTTTGGGTATA